AAAGTATTATTATGGTTTAAGAGATGTCAGGTCACACCAGGCTGGATAGAGAGCGGAGCCCTCAGAACGGACAGCATTTTAGCTGAGCGCTGCTGCATGGATAGGATTGCTACCAGAAATGCCAGCATATGGTACTGAAGCCATCTGAGGATCAGTACAGCATAGGATCTATACGTACCAACTAGTCAGAATGGAACAGTCAGACAATCAGAATGGATTATGGGCAGTACCAGTGAGTACAAGCTGAAGATCAGCCTGAGAAAGGTTCTGAGCACAGGCAGTGAGGGGAAAGGGCATGGGAGAAGACAGGGAAGCAACTGGGCATGGCTGACAAGACAAGGAAAGGTCAAACCCTGATTCTCAAGGTAGTGAGTTTAGATTTTATCCAGGGGACAAAGGAAAACCTCCTCTCCTCCCCCGAGTCACCACACACACCCCCCCCCCCAAACCCTGTGGCCCTGACGTTTTACACCCCATTACGGTCCTCAGAATATTTTCTAATACCCCTATTCTAGATTAATTGTCCATCTCCCATGGCTTCCTTTGTCACAGAACCTATCCTGCTGAACTAAAATTTTCTCATTACGTGCTTTATAATCTATCATATTGAATACTAATTTCCTCTTTACTTTTATTACACTGTAAGTTTCTTGAAGGCAGGAACTGTATTTTATTTATTTATATATTCATAGGAACTATCAAAATGTCTAACTATAGAAGGAATTCAGTAAATGCTTGAAAGAATGAATAAAAGATAAGTTAAATGCTACATTCTTATTTCTGCCACTGAATCACTCCGGAGAGATCCTGTCTCATTGCAAAGCTCTCTCTTTCTCTCTTTTTTTTTGTCAGTTTATCTTAAATTTCTAATAGAATAGGGTTTACAAATATTTGCTTATCTTTAAAGGTATTATTTTAAAATGATGAATATAAACTATTTCTCCCCATCGTCAGAGCACTCTTGTCATGTCATGGGTCCTGTGATTCTTGTTCCTTTCTGTACAACTCTTTACTCTCTTCTACCTGATTCTGTCACTCCTCCCATCTCTTGCCATAATTATGGTGACCATACTTCTCCAGCAGGACCTACACAATGTTTCTTAATCCTTCGTTCAGGTTCAGGGAGCTATGAATTCTATATACAAAACAAATTCAGAATTTTTTTTTCCAAAATTCATTCCATACACTCAAAATTCAATACATTATGATTCCATTTTATAAAGTTCAAAAATAGGCAAAATTAATCTAAGATTAATTAAGTCAGATAGTGGTTACATTTGAGGATACCTTTGAAGGGAGATGGCGATGGCAGGGAGTATGCGGAAGGCTTCTGCGATGCTGGTAATATTCTATTTACCAATCTCGGTACTGTTGCCATGAGGGTGCTCCCCATGTGAAAAGTCACTGGGCTATATGATTTTAATTTGTGCACTTCTCTATATGTTTGTTTGTTTGTTTTTAATATTTCCCATGGTGAGAAAGGTTGGTAATTACTGCCACAGTTGATTACTTTTCAGGCTCTGGTCAGAAAACGACTAGAGCAGAAACTATTCTTCTCTAAGAGCATCTGTTAAAGATATAGAAACAGGAGGGAAATGGGAGGAGACAACGGTGGCTGGGGGATGGGGCCTTAACCCTCCCATCACCATGATTACTTACCTGGTACATACAAATAACCGTCTTTCAATTTTCTTTGATGTAGACAATTTACACCTTCCTGATCTAACATAGTGGCAATAAAATCATCACTAGAACAACAAAGCAAACCTCCAGTGCCTATCGATGAAGGGCAAGAAAAAAATCTGCTCCATAAAATCTTCCTAGAAAATCTTACCCTGCTTCTCAGATATTTTTTTTTTTCCATCTCCGTAGCCTGTGATTATTCTGACAAGTGGGGCCCTGCTTTACCATCCTGGTTCTCACCAGTGGTGGGTTTTACCTACTAGAGAGAAGCCAGGAGGAGGAAGTTATAAGGCCACTATTGGAGTTTTTAATCACAGACTACTACCAGAATATAAACACGAGACTTCAGTCAGTATTAGCTTGGAGCTATAGAATTAAGGGTATTGGCCCACATATCTGATACCCAAACTTACGACCCCACATTTCCAAAAACAGGCATCTGGGGTTAAGAAAACAGTCAATGAAGAGTACAGGAGTACAGTACAAAGACTGAGTCTTCCTAAAATTTCTCCTCTTTAATCTCAATTCCACAGCCAAAGGTAAGGGTGGAGGCCTGTCATCGGTGGAGGCCTGTCATCGGTGGAGGCCATTCTATGTGTTCCTGACTGGGTCTTCAATCTGCCTCAGTTTGATGTATAGACTGAACATACATCCAAATCAGAACTTATCAGTTCTCAGAGCAGAGGTAATCTATTTACTCAAAACATGAGGGTCATCAATCAAAGTCACTCAAAACCTATGGGAAGAGAGAACAAAATAACTATATTCAAATGTTCATTTATTAACAGATATTTGTTGAGTGTCTAATATTCCCAGACAATTTTCTAGGCACAAGGGAGTTTACACTCATCAAGCTTACATTCATTTGAGCAAACAACTACAGAAAAGTAAGTTATATTTTCTGTTGTTCCAAAGGGCAGAACCAATAGGTAGACTCAATGCAACTCTTTGCTACTTAGGAAGAAATAACAGATAATTTTTATTTTCTTCTTTCTGTTTCTTCCAACTCACTAACATATATTCAATCATCATGTATTGTTTTCACAGTAAGAAAAAACATTTAGGACTTCTAAGCCTGATAAATAGAGAGAAGCCACTTTTAGAGCTGAAACAAAGACAGACAAACAAATAATGAAATGGTGTGGAGAGCTGAATGCATTGGGCAGAGGATTGGACCTAAGGTCACCACTGATTTTTGCCTCAACTCTATCCCTCTATAAACCTTGCTCCTGTTACAGTCTACATCAGTACTTCCTTCCATTCTAAATGTGTAAATATCTCATTTTGCCTTCAACTGAAGATGGTTCTCTACACGTTCATGTTTTGTCGCATAATTATAAGGTATTATGTTGTAAATACGGACATTAAATAAACAAATAAGAACAAGCCAAGCAGTGGTCCACAAACCATACTTGGCTTTTTAAACTCATAAATATTTTTTCCTTTTTCATTGTGAATCCATTCTGTTAAAAATACAGGAATCATGTTTAGTCACCTGGATCCAATTAGCTTAACTGGTTAGGATTTGGATTTAATGAGATTTATTCCAAGGACTTAATTCCAACACGAGGCAGTTAGCTTCACTCATCTCCCTATTAGAGGCTCTACCCTTACCTATGCCAGCCATGTCCCTAAGCATCATAGTAGGAATCACTGTAAACATATTATTACAACTAGAAACTCAACAGAAAGTGCATTTTCTTATTGAACATCTTTGTATATGGACAGATAGTTATTAGATAAATCATATAAATCTCCTTGGGAGACTTCCATAAGATTACTTATAAATGTGTTAAGAAGTATCAGAAATGATTATTTTGAAATTTGGGAAAAAATGATGGTACCCACTTCTCAAATATGGCAATCTGTTTTGCTTTCAAATGTGAATAAAAGTGTTGTGTGTTATCTTTCTTATTAGTGTCCAGCCCAATCCAATAAAAATAATCAGCAAAGAAATCTATATTTTTCCACAAGTATTCTCGATGGTTCTTACAATCAAGGAAGAGTTGGGAAGCACTGTGTTAATAGCATTTCACAGCTCTGGTTCACATAATTATGTTCATGAACTACACCTACCATTAGAGAAATAGTACTCAGTACCAGATTTCTTTCCAGCAAGCAGGCTACAGGCATGAAACAAACAGTATCCAATTCATAATCTTGGCCTCATGGGCATTATGCTCTTCCCTGAACTCACTGGCACTTTTTATAACACATAATTATTTTTTCACACACTGTCCGTGTCAGGTCTTAGAGAATACAGACAGAGGAAATCTGTAGAGTTAAAAAATAAAGTAGCAGAAAATGTTAATAATTTAAATTGTTTCCTAGGCTGTCACTTTTGCTATATTCTATGATAATGCATGCAGTCCCTAGGCGTTAGCATGCTCAATCTCAAAAGAAACATGCCTTCCTCCTAACAAGCTACCAGCTGCTTTCAAAAAGCAGCTCCTGCATTAGAAAACTGAAGTCAAAAATTGTGATGCCATAAGGATGTATTTTACATCACTTCAAAATACATATATTTAAGTCACACCTACAGTACGTTGCATCATAATATTTTATTTTATTTTTTGCAGCACGGAGGTGATTTCTCAAACTATAAACATTTCAGTACATTTAATAACATATATGATAGAAGTGGAACTAAATTTCATAGCTAGTCTACTTATATCTAGAGTATAAATTCTTGTGTTTGCCAAGAAGTTGAACTATGAACATGTTGGCAGTGAGCTAGATTTAAATTTTGCTCTCATCAAACATATTCTCTTACCTAAAAATAGCTCACCATGCAAAGATCAGGAAAACCAGCCAGCACAGACAACAAATCATTAATAAATTATTTATCTCCTAAAAAATACATATGTGCATAACTCAGAAGTAACAAAGTGAGAGTAAATTCAACTGAGCTTCAATCAACACTAAGATAAAAATCTCTCTTTCTACAACAGAACATATATTTCGTTTATACGAGATCAGTTTTTATTCATTTAAACTGAATAACAACTCAAATTACCACTAGAAATTTTATTTTAGTCAATATTCAAAGTCCTCACAAATATCAATATTTGATAATGCTACTTAATGAGACTTTTGAAGTAGCAGAATGGGGTTTTTTTAAATAAGAATATGATTAGCCTGGTTCTACTAAGAGATCCCATTCAAAGCAAAGAAATAATACAACATGGTTAAGCAGGTTTCTCACTGAGGTGGTTTTCTGCTAAGTTTGAAGGAAAATTAATTTACTAAGAAGAGAGTAAAACAAACAGAAGAGCAGAAGTAGTGGTAGCATGGACACTGGCTAAAAGAAAGCATACCTCTCTCTCTTTCCTTCGGTGATATCATACAAGCGGTTGGCACCTCCATCAGCACAGGCTCTTAAAAGAGCTTCAAACAGAAAAACACAAAGAACGTTTCAATACAGGAAGTTTAGAGCAGTATCTTTGAAATGATAAACATTAAAAAGCAGGCACTCAGAAGTGTACACAGTCACGCTTCCCTCCTTGGATCATTTCACATTGAGCCAGTGACACTGCTGGTATTAAAGATGATCCTACCGAGCACACACACAAGGAAGACAGAATCACCTCAGACAAAGCGTATTTCCTTTTTGCATCTTTTTCAATTCCTTTTATTAAATAAAGGAGAGGACTGCATACGGTGTCTTCGATATCTCTTGAAGCTTGTCTTTCCTTCTTTATAACAGAAGACAGGCCTCACGCACAATAACGGGCAACAGGACATGGTTATACGTTTGTTCCCTTATTTTATTTTTACAGATACTTTCTATTTATGGTAGGTATTATGGGTTTCCATATTTTATTGTGATATAAAAGGTTTCTTTTAAAAATAAATCATAAGCATAGCGTAAGTTTATTTTAAAATATTAAGTAACTAGTAATCTAGATAATGTGTGAACATTGTAAAAGTTGTGAAGGTGGCATGAAATTGACTGAAACTTGGGAAATACTAAGATAATCAAATAAGACCAGCTGCCTCTCTGACTGAGGCTTATCCCTTCCTTTCCCACATTTTCTCCTTGCTGTCACTCTAGGATTTGATGCTGCGAATCAATTGTTCCTTGAAATTTACTTAGTTCTCTAATTTTTAATTTTCCTAGAAATGTTCAGTGTCTTAGCATAAATTCCTTTTATCCTTTTTTTTAAAAAAAAAAAAAAATGTCTTTTACCTAATGGTTTCAGATCAAACTTTATTTTTTATCCTGGGCAATGCAAGTGAATGCAGAAATGTCTGAGATTCTAATTCTTCACCCCGAACAGACCCAAGCCCTGCCTCCTGTCCCCACAGCTGTCAACACCAAAGTCACAGGTCACAGAGACCAGCAAAGACTTTGGGCACCAGCAGCTTCAGAAGAAACTAACCATTCTTTTGAGCTACTTCCTCGTTTTAAGGCACTTATGAAATCACCTTACCTTTTTGCACATTTAGCTATACATTTAAAGGAGTGTTTATAATATTTACTTCCAAATTTCAAGGTGTTTAATAGCAGGTGGAATATTTCAGGATATTTCAAGGATATCTAATTGACCATATTGGCAGAAATAAAAGTCTCAATGAATTTTCCACTAATCCAAAATATGTGAGACTATTTTCTGTGTTCTATGTCATATCAGAAACAAAACAGAGGCTAAGTGACAAAAAAGATGTCCCTTTTTTGCTTTAGCTTCCTCATCTGTAAACAGGGATAATATCACCTATGGCGTAGATTATTAAGCAATTAATGATATAATAATTACATATAGTGCTTATCACAATACTGAAACACAGTAAGCCTTCAATAAACATTAGTCCTCTTCCTCCATTTTTGTGAGAATGAAAATAAACTCTCAAAAGCATTGTGTTCCTGGAAAAAAAAATAATGAATTTTTACAAAGATATCTAAGAAGATGTCTCATTTTTACCAACTACCCACAATACAAATTTCCTTATAAGGAATGGCACCCAAATTCAAATCATGCCACAGACATAACTTGCAGAAAATCACAGAATATTCTGCACATTTCCTAAATATCAAAACCTAAAAATTCAAAATTATCAAAAGCTAAAATGGAGAGATCATCTCATATATAAAATATGCCATAGAACAAATTAATAGGGAGACTGAAAAGACTGATAAATAGAAACAGATGGTAAACTATTAGTAACTGCCCTCAGAGTATATAAAAAATTCCCTATAAACAAAATTAACAAGTATATGGGATCTTTTTATGTAAAATTGATTCACTGAAGTAATATGAAAATCTAAGAAATAGTTTTTAGTGGCTAAGGATTATCAAATAGAATGACTTGTCAATTTTTCACAGTATATTATTTTGCAAAGATCAGGTGAATTCAACATTTATACTATTATGTGCCAGGCCCTAAATAGAATAGAAAGATGATCAACAAAAACTAGCTCTCCAGGCTCAATTATAGTGGAAAAAAGAGAAACAGAAGCAAATATATGCAATGCACGGTAGACTCGGATGAATGCTGTAATAAAAGCAACAAAATGCAAGGGGAGGATGTGGAAAGGAGAGATGAATTTCAATGGACAAATCTGTAAAATTACTTATTAATCAATCTAGCTCTGTTAATATCAGAGTTACTTTTAGAAACCAAAAACTTTTTCTAATGCCTGTTACTTCTCACATCTAGATTTAAATTGGTATTTTTAAAGCAGTTTATGAAAAGAGAAATAACTAGGTCATAGGAAGTAAATTTGTCCACGTCTCTTCCTGTTTTAAATGATAAATGGAGTTACAATAACCATGATGAAATCTCTGGACTCTTCTCTCCTTACTTGGAAGCTGGGAGCAGGGGAGCAATCCATCTGGAAGGAAAATAAGTACCAGTCTGTCCCTAAAACTATTTTGTTTTGTTGTCAATAAAGCTTGACCAAAAAAGATGTAGTCTACCACTTTTAAATTTTATTAATAATATATTTTCCATGTGCATAGGGGAAACGGCATTTGGAAAATAAAATATTTCAAGCATAAATTATATAATGTTTGCATGAAATCATTGATAGCAATTTGAAAACTAAGCAAACAAATATCACTACTAATGAAAGGGACCAACTAAAAGAACCGGAAGTAGAGGGTACTCTTATTTTTTTTTTTTAATTTTTTTTTTGTGTGTGTGTGAGGAAGATCAGCCCTGAGCTAACATCCATGCCAATCCTCCTCTTTTTGCTGAGGAAGACCGGCTCTGAGCTAACATCTATTGCCAATCCTCCTCCTTTCTGTTTTTCCCCCAACGCCCCAGTAGATAGTTGCAGGTCATAGTTGCACATCCTTCTAGTTGCTATATATGGGACGCTGCCTCAGCATGGCTGGAGAAGCGGTGCGTCGGCGCACCCGGGATCCGAACTCGGGCCGCCACTAGCAGAGCGCGTGCACTTAACTGCTAAGCCACAGGGCCAGCTCCCAGAGGGTACTCTTAAATAACATATTTTTGGGAAATCATAATGAATCAGCCTCAAAAATATGTTCACTCCATCATCATTTAACTTGTTCCAAGCTTTAATGAATATAACTTATTGCATGAGTTATCTTTTAATGTAAAAATTTCAATGGCTTATACAGCAAAATTTTTGCAGATCTGTCAAATACTACAGCTTCAGTGGTTGAGCAATTATTTACTATGCATCAGGCTGATAAACAGCTGAAGACTAAAACACACTAAAATCTCTATATCAACTTTATATATTGGTACTACCAATAAGTAAATTAAATACATCTTAAACTAACAATTTTTTAATGTGGTTCAATGTAAATTAATGATACTGACAAATAACGAAGAGCTCCACTCACAATCAGAGGTTAATTGGCTATTTTAGTAATTTCTGTTGAATAAAACTGGACAGAAATAATTTGACTTTCTGAAAAGTAGTCTATTAAATTCGTTTCAAGTATTAATATGGAAGAAAAAAAGTAAAATCAAATAAACATTTTGCAGTGTCAGTCAAATGAAAGAATACTAGATATGAAAGATTTCAATTCTAATCTAGATCAGCCATTTATTAGTCCTATGATTTTGAGGTAACGCCAGTGTGCTGATTCTAATACAAAATAAAGATTATTATATATATTTTGGCAAATTCACAAAATTTTTCAGGGAGTAGAGAGAGAGAGACAACATAGATACAACTAGAAGGAAGCAGCACGGGGAAACAAATTCTCTCACATGCTCTTAATGAGACTATGACTTTGAGAGACAGTTCGTGGATTTACAAAAATTTAAATGTATATCCCCTTTGATTCAGAAATTCCATGTAGCCTATATAAGCACTTGCGCAAGTGCACAAGGGCATACGTACAAAGATACGATACGTACAAAGATATGTACAAAGTTTGCTACTAGTTTCACATAATGTGTAACCACATAAGTTTGCTACACATAGTGTGTAATCATGAAAAACTAGTAGCAAACTTTAATGGCCATCAGTTGAATACTGGTAAAATATATCATGGTTTTAGTATGCAACCATAAAAAAGAAGATAACTCTTATATGTATTTATATGTTATCTCTTCTAAGATATATTGTTATTTAAAACTTTAAATAAATAACCCTTGGTAAAATTTTCCTTGCAATAGCAACTCAAGGAACGTACAGAAGTACACCAACTTTAAAAAAACTAAGAATTGGCCTAAGATTACTATGTCAAGAATGTTTATTAAGTAATCATTAATCAGCATTAATAATATGCACCTGCACTGAAGAATGGGCACTAGTCGCAGACGCTTATGAAACTCGTAACAACTAGCAAGGGACAAACACCAAAGAGAACCAAGAATCGATGGCTTCCATGGCCATGTGCATACCAAACAATTTGTGACTGGAACATTTGAAAGTCACTCCGAGGAAATGACCAGACCTTCATCTGACTTCAATTCTTTTGGATAAACACCCAGAAGTGGGAATGCTGTATCACATGGTAGTTCTTTTTTAATTTTTTGAGGCTCCTCCATACTGTTTTTGATAGTGGCTGCACTGTTTTGCATTCCTACCAAGAGTGCACAAGAGTTCCCTTTTCTGCTGTCCTGCAACCTGAGAGACTGGAAGCTTGGACCTATGATACCTATGATCTATCATATTGACCCAGAGAATGAAGCCAACACAGTAAAGATAAAGCTAGGAGACAAGAGCCTTGTTTGAGTCCCATAGCCATAGCAATAACCAGGCACCAGCCTTTTCAATTATGTAAGCTATAAATTCCCTTTTTAGGCTCAGGCCAGTTTGGGTTGGGTTCTCTGTCATTTGAAACAGAAGGAGCCCTAACTAATACAAATATTAATTTCTACTTCAAAGACACTGAATCTTCCTCTCAGTTGGAGAATACTATCTTATTATGCCTCAAATCTGTGTTAGATCAAGCCCTTAA